CAGGATACGACACAGGCAAATGACCCGAGGTGATAGGAGGGCATGGAGCAACGACGCGGGTGGTACATGAAGATGCTAGCGGCCGCTTTGCCAATGGCATGTTGGAGTTCTGCGGCGCATGGGACACCATTTCCTTCTTAGGAAAGGGCCTCCTTCCTGATGGCCAGCTAGTGGTGGGGCACTGGTGCGATGGCCGCGTGCTGATGGTGTTCATATGGGATTCAGATCGTCTGCCTTCACGGGATGAAGGCACGGGCGTGCAGTTGACCATCATCCACTGTCCATGCCATCTAACGTTTTGCGTGGTGTATGCGTTGAAGAGAGCTAGCCCAGCCAAACCATCATCTTCCTTGCCTTTCTGTCACCGACGTCTAGCCCAGCCAACAATCTTTCCTTGCCTTGTCACCGGCGTCATCTCCCACAGGGACCGGTAGATCGAGCAAATCATGTCACTACCGTTGTCACTAGTCACAATGTTGTGTCTGCCGTGACCCGCGGTGCGTCGACGAGGTGGAGGAAAACCTTGGCTTGCCATCTGCGGGAGGCTATGTAGGCTTGCCGCTGCGAAGTCGGAGGCCGCCGATGGATGGATTAACCACACCACATGGCCGGCCGGCGTGGAGCTTGACGACCGCTAGCTAGGTTTAGTTGGTTGTTGATTTCCCCTGTTGCTGGTTCTGGAAGGAGATGAACTGTAACATATATAATACGATCAAAACACTAGATTAGCAGCAGATTAGTTAGCTGGTTTGATCAAGGCTGCTGATATATGTTGAATTGATAGCCTAGCTTGACTCCACGTCTCCACCTCACTGTCAAAATAGGTAAATGAAACAACTGAACAAATCATGTCGCTTGACGACCTCGCAGGCAGTCAGGTGACTATCTTATTGGCGCCCAGGCAGCGACTTCAGCGAGCGTGGGCCTCAACGCGGCCTTCAGCGGTAGCGACGCGAGAGGAGGTCGATGTGTGCGACGGGTTTTTTCCCTGACGAAAGTGGTGGTAGGGAATGGGATTGGGGAAGCCGTGGCTCTCGGCGCTGTCGGTGGCTGGTGGCGGCGCATACACAGGCGATGGCGAACACCATTGTAGCCAGGTGCGTATGCTGCCACTAGGTGGTTCCATTAAGCGTCATGCCATGCGAGCCGTGAGCCATCGGATGACTTGGACGGTGGATGAGGACTGACTGCACGCCTGTGCTGTGAAGGCAGACGATCCTAATCCGTTCATATGGTGGTGGATGATGGTGACAATGTGGATGCAGTGACAAGAGAGGGGAGCAAGATTTCCACGCGAAAGGCTAACCCTATTCAAGGCCGGTCGTGGCGACGCTTAAGAGCACCCGTAATAGTAAAGTAAGGTGCTATCTATAAAACATGTACATCTCAGCAATAGACTAGATTAATAGTAAACCAACTTAATAGTATGTCTACATGGGTATCTATAGCTCTTTAATACATTGCCTCGTTTTTCTCTATAGACTATCTCCAGGTTAGTAGATAGCTTTGCTCTCTATCTTCATTTAATCTCTTCCAAGTAGGAAAATATGCTGACATGGATCTCTTATAGAGAGCCTATAGATAACCATTGTGGGTGCCCTAAGAGCACCATTAACCCCCTAGGGGCGTAGTTGTGGTATCTCTCCTCATGTCTTTGGTGGAGTTCTTCAGTTGAAAACCACATCTTGATTTTCCAGGATGGGCATGGCAAAGTCCTTGGCATCTCAAGCATCTTGGATGAGTGGTTGAAGGCCTATTTTGTGATATCCCGACCCAGAGCTTAATAGGATTAATAGAATACTCATACCACAAGTTACAGCTTTTTATCTGGATACTGATCTCCAAAGAACTCTGAGGTTAAGCGTGCTTGGCCTGGAGCAATTTTGGGATGGGTGAACCGATTGGTAAATTCTTCCCGAATGAGGACAAAGTGTGCAAAAAAGACTTGTGTTGGTCTGTGAGGACAGTCGATGACCTATAAAAGCTGCCAGATGTAAGAGGTCCCGACCTGGCAGAGGCGGGACGTATGGGGTTGACCGACAAGGACGTCGATCTCTTAAGGGGGGTGAGGATGTGACATCCTGGCCCAGGGCTTAATAGGATTAATAGAATACTCATACAACAAGTTGCAACTTCTTTTCTGGATGCCGATGATCGGAAAATTCTTCCCGAGTGCGTACGAGTGAGAACAAAGTGTGCAGAAAAAGACTTGTATCCCTCTGTGAGGGCACAGTTGGGATATGGTGCTTCTATTTGTTTTCTCAACAACGGGGTATTCTATTGTAGGCGTGTGGCATGGCTTAATGTCTATTTTTTTCTCAATCATGGTCTCTCATAACTATACTCTTGTAATTATTTTCTCAACAACGAGGTATTCTATTGTAGGCATGTGGCATGGCTTACTGTCTATTTTTTTTTCTTAATCATGGTCTCTCATAACTATACTCTTGTAATCTTTTACTATATTAATATGAAATATCGCACTATTATGTAGGCTGATCGCACACATGCACTACTACAAAAGGCACATAGATGTTGGCACTTTAGATACCGGAAATACTAAAACTGATACCTATAGATCTTTTCCCACCTCTGCGGGCTAAAAACACAAAAAACCAACACCATTAAGCAACTATAGGCATCGGTTCTGAAGAAAAACCGGCACTTATACTATAGGTGTCGATTTTCTTAAAAAAAAGAGCACCTATAATTATAGTTTCAAAACTGGACCTATGTGCCGAGCCGACTGAGCTGAGTCAGTCAATCCTATTTTTTCCCTCCGTGGCTCCGTCCCCCCACCTTATCCACTCCCTCCTTTTCGTCCGTCCTTTCTCACTCTCTCTTTTGCTCTCGTTTTCTTGCTTCCTCTCTTGTTCCACCTCGATGACGACGGTTACTTGCGCGTGCGGATCCAGCGGCTTCGGCCGCTCGCGCGCACGGATCTGGTGATATCGGCTCACGCATGGGGATCTGGTTGTGGGTAGCTCCCTCTTCCCAGGCATGGTGGCATCAACAATTGCTCCCTCCTCCCCAACGTGATGCCTGCTGCTCCCCGGCGACGGCGGCGGCGGCTACTCCACCCTCCCTAGCATGGCGGCAGTGGCGACGGCTACTCCACCCTCCCTAGTGGTTGGCCCCACCTCCACCACCGAACCTCTTCCCCTCATCCTTCTCGGCGGTGAAGGCAGCGACGACCTCGTCATCTCTGAGCTTTTCTCGGCAGCGGGCCCCCCTCACTTTTGGCGGCAGCGGCAGTGTTCTTGATTTCTTCCTGACTTGTGGATTTTCTTAATTTGCTCTAGAGTTGTGGATGTTCTTGATTTCTTCACCTATGGAATTGTGGAATTGTTGTTTCTGAGATTCAGTTGTTGGCTGAAAGCATTGGCTCGATGCATTTGATGCCGTTTACCTTTGAATCTCCACATCAGTGCCGTCATTGGAGTGGGTCTAGATTTCCGACCAGCACCAATAGACTTTTATGCAGTACGGATGCATCAACTAATAAAACAGAGGAAGAAAGGCAACGGGTAAGCTAGTCTTCGCCATCAGTGCTTTTATTACTAGGTTGCATGCGTGTGTACGTGGATCGTATTGTAGGCATCAACTCTACGGGCCACGGCTCCAATGACACATTGACGCTGACCCTTCATTCCAATGAAATCTGCAGAGCGCACATGATCGATTCTGCTCTTTTCATGCCTCCCGGCCCGATCTCGGTCGATCATCTGTCAATATTGCTTGATTTCTGAATTTCCATTATGCAAACAAGAATGTATTTTATAACCTGTTGCTATCTAGTTACATGCACAGTTGTACCTGTACAATCCAACTCTCTCTCGGCCGTACGTGTCTCCTTCTGTTATTTTTCCTGTACATTGCTCCGTATGAAAGTAAATTTAAATCTCAATTTAATGACATAATTTTTAGCAAATAAAATTCATTTCATATTATACTAGGTTTTGGTCAAATGTTTTAAATGTTGAATCTTACAATGTGTACGCGTCTTATATTATGGGATGGAGGGAGTAAGAATTAGCTAAATATTTAAAAATGAATTAATATGATGTTTTAAAGCAAATTTATATAAAAATATTTTTAAAAACATACCATTTATTAGTTTAGGAAACTTGTGCATGGAAAAGATGAAATAAAAGATGAAAAGGTGTAGTTGAAAACACACCCTTGTTGCTACAAACCTTATACTATATGAGAAATTATAAGCTAAAGATTAGTTTTAAGAGTAAAGTGCATTGGTGGTCCTTAAACTTATAGGGTTATGTCATATAGGTCTCTAAACTCTTAAACTCTCAAAATGCATATCTGGGTTCCAGAACTTGTCAAAGTGTATCATCTAGGTCCCAAATCGACACATCCCATCTAGTATCCTACGTGGCGCTGATGTGGCATGCCACATGGACATGACATGTCCTTTTCTTTTTTTTCTTTTTTTCTTTCTTGTTTTCTTCTCATTCTTCTTTTTTTTCTTTCTTCTACTTGGGTTACAGAGAAAGGAGAAGAAAGTGAAAATAAGAGAAGAAAAAGAAAAAATTTTAAATGGATCCCATTTGTCAGTCAAAATGATGCCACGTCATGTCCATGTGGTATGCCACATCAACGCCACATAGGATCCTGAAGGGGTTGTGACGATTTGGGACCTAGATGACACATTATGACAAGTTCTGGGACTTACATATGCATTTTAAGAGTTTAGGGAACTAGATGACACACATCTACAAGTTTAAGGACCGCCTGTACACTTCACTCTAGTTTTAAAGACCGTACCAATTTTGATCGTACTTTATATTATGGAATAGAGGGAGTAATTAATTATGCGCTTATCAGTTGGGAAATGGTTCCAACCCTTCCAAACTAACAAAGCCAAGCTCAAAAATTTCTTGATTGGGATTTATAATATTTTTTACCATTTGAATTAACCGGTAGAGGCGTGTCATTCTGACGCGGACGGCCACTTCAGTTTGATCTTCTTTTCGGAAATGTGAAAGAGAGCTGGCTAGCTAGATAGGAAGAACGAAACTTGAAAGCTCAAGCTATAAATATGTGTATATCCAAGCTATAGCTACCACCATACACACCACTGACCAGTCGCTACACATCAAAGCACCAGCAATGGAGACGGTGGAGGCAGCCATGGCGGAGGAGGAGGAGGCGAAGAAGAGCAAGATGAGGAAGAAGGGTGGGTTCAGAACGATGCCCTTCATCTTCGGTGAGTAGGAAATCTCGATCTGTTTGAAACGCTGTGAGTTTTTGTTTCAAATTCGCATGAGATTTGGCGTGTTTTTGCACGCACGCACGCACGCAGCGAACGAGGTGGCGGAGAAGCTGGCCGTGCTGGGGTTCACGACGAACATGCTCATGTACCTGACGAGGCAGCTGCACATGCCGCTCGCCAAGGCCGCCACCACCCTCACCAACTTCGGCGGCGTCTCCGCCATGACCCCGCTCATCGGCGCCTTCCTCGCCGACTCCCTCGTCGGCCGCTTCTGGACCATCGCCGCCGCCTCCCTCATCTACCAAGTCGTACGTATACACATCCACGCACGCACGCACGCACCACGCACGCCGCCGCGGCGCGCTGAGCTGACCGGAGCGTTCGTGTTCGCGTGGCAGGGCATGCTCCTCCTGACGGTGTCGGCGGCGATGCCGGTGTTCCGGCCGCCGCCGTGCAGCGGCGCCGGCGGCGCGGGCGCGTGCGACGAGGCGGCGCCGTGGCAGCTGGCGGTGCTGTACGCGGCGCTGCTGCTGAACGCGCTGGGCGCCGGCGGGTACAGGCCGTGCGTGGTGGCGTTCGGCGCCGACCAGTTCGACGAGTCGGAGGCGGCGGAGCGGGCGCGCACCTGGGGCTTCTTCAACTGGTACTACTTCTGCAACGGCGCGTCGCAGCTGGTCGCCGTCACGGCGGTGGTGTACGTGCAGGACAACGTCGGCTGGGGCTGGGGCCTCGGTGTGCCCACCTTCTGCATGGCCGTCTCCGTCGTCGCCTTCGTCGCCGGCTACCCGCTCTACCGGAGGCTCCACCCGTCGGGGAGCCCCTTCACGCGGCTCGCGCAGGTGGTCGTCGCCGCCGTCAGGAAGCGGCGGGTGCCGACGGACGCCGACGACGCCGCGGCGCTGTACGAGAACGACGACATGGACGCGCCCATCTCGCTCTACGGCAAGCTCGTCCACACCGAACAACTCAGGTACCAGCTGACTGCGACCGGTTCTGATCGAGTGTGGTTTCGATTAATTTCAGCTGAATTCGGACCGAATTTGGTTGTTTTCGGTCTTGCCGTCCCCGGCACCATCGAAATTTTGAGTGTGTATATATATATATATATATATATATATATATATATATATATATATATATATATATATTTCAATTTTTGAAAATTGGATGATTTCCTTTTTTTGTGGTGAAAATTCAATCTTTGCTCCATTTATAGCATTTTTATCTTCTTTTTTTGAGAAAAAGGAACTCTTTACAATGCAAAAGGTGAACAACTATAGTTTCGACATGTGATCGGTTATTACCTGGTTAACTGGTTTTCTCTTACCTATCAATTATTTTGCACTACTATATCGAAGCATCCAAAGACTCACATATTTACCTTTCTTTTACTTTCAAAAAAAGGTGAAACAATTAAATAATGAAATAAATTAATATAAAAAATGTTATACTTTTATGAATTTCCACCAATATGAAAAAAAAACTAATATATAGATGAAGCATGAGAACACATTAGCATAAACCAATAAAAATATAAAACAGAGCAGATTAATTGATTTAGTAAAGTTACATTAAAGTTGCGATTTTGTATAGTAGGAAGCCTACGTGGTAGACAAAACAAATTTTCAGGCAACTAATGCATAGAAAAATATTAAGTTTTAATTTACATTTCTCTTCTTGCAAAATATTTAAACACGTTTAGTCCATAAGGAAATTAAAATCATTGACAAGTAACACCACCTAGCAACTCTTATTTAGAGAACTACTACTAACTACCACATTCCAAAACCAGAAGAGACATGATGAGTCTCTTCTGGCATGGGTCACTGATTCGTGGACCCGCTGATTATGGGGCTATATAGCAATCACTCAAAAATAATAGAGGAGGTGGTGTTTCTGAACTCTGAAGAGACGTGTAGCTGGTAAATAAACCAAAGGCCGAGTTTAGTTCTAAAATTTTTCTTTAAACTTTTAACTTTTCCATCACATTAAAACTTTCCTACACACAGACTTTCAACTTTTCCGTCGCATCATTCCAATTTCAACCGAACTTTTAATTTTGGAGTGACCTAAACAAACCCAAAGTTTGAGGGAAAAAGAGATTTGGTACTCACTATCATGCAACCAGCAAAGCCGGGGGGTCGAAGCCAAAAACCATTGATGAACAAGAAGACATGGATAAGCAGATTAGGAGGAGATGTCGGCCAATGGCGCCGAAACTTAGAACAGCTTTTTCCACGCTGCACTGCTGCAGCACAGTACTGAAACGACAGCAGCCGCTGGATAATCTATCTCTTGTGGACTTGTGGTCTCTGGCTTTTGATAATTTGACTGGACCAAAGAAAATATGGGAATTCATGGGTCCATGATTGATTAAGAGATATAACTATGACTACGAGTGACTCGTGATTGCAGCATCAATCATATGTCTGTCAAGATATGTTCTGGTCAATAGATAATTAGTTATGGTTTATTTACTTTTTTGGATGAGAGAACAAAGATGATTGAGCTTAACTAGTAAATAAACCATAACTAGTAAGCTAAAAATTAGTTATGTTTTTCTAACAATTATTGTGCAAAAAAATATTAGCAAAAAATGACAATATAAGCTTAAACATGAGGTTTCTTTAAACATTTTGTCATAAAACCTAGGATTATTCAGAACAAATAGTAATATCTGGAAATGGGTGCCTAAAACCTGGCGTTTTTTAATATCAAAAAAAAACCTGGCGTTTTGTGAAATTTATTCAATTGTTTTCATGAGGAACTTGGTAACTCTGTTCAAACTCAAAACGAGTCTCTGCTTTGCTTCCGAAGGCTAGCTATGTCATGCAACTTTGAGCACGGTTTGGATAGGAGTAACAAGTAACAAACTAAGGCCAAACTTTACAATATATTTCAGGGTTTAGAGGGGTACTGTGTTTTCTGAAAACCTCTCTAGATTTGCTACTTTATGCTCTTGGAGAAATCCTTTAGAAATGCAATAAGTTTTGTAATGGCAGATAGGAGGTACCCTTTAGTACTTAGTGAAAGAAACCGTAAGTCCCAGAATGATGTAAAGCTCTGTCAGAACCTAAAATTATATTCAAATTTCCAAAGCTTTCGTAGTCTCAACAAATTGTTATAAAGGTCTTTCAACAAAAAGAAAACGTACACTAATAGCAGCACAGCCTAAGGTTGAGTGCTAGAATGTCCATTGCAAATTGCAAACTCTTGCCATTTGGTTTCTTCTGATATGAATGTGTTTTGTGCAATGATTTCGACTTCGATCCAATTGTCCAAAAGTGTTAACTGATCGTGCAACAATTATGATCAATTTGATTTTTTTTCTGTTATTTTTGCACTGATTGTGATGTTTCTTGACTCCGGTGGTACAGCTTTTTTGACCGAGCGGCCATCGTCACCGACGGCGACCTGACGACGGACACCTCCAACGGCAAGCCGTCGTTGTCTCCCATCCCCAAGCCGTGGCGGCTGAGCACGGTGCACCGCGTCGAGGAGCTCAAGTCGCTGCTCCGCATGGGCCCGATCTGGGCAGCGGGCATCCTGGTGATCACGGCGTACTCGCAGCAGCACACCTTCGCCCTGCAGCAGGCGAGCACCATGGACCGCCGCCTCGCGCCGGGGCTGTCGTCGTTCCAGATCCCAGCAGGCTCCATGACCGTGTTCACCCTGCTCGCCATGCTCACCACGCTCCTTGCCTACGACCGTGTGCTCGTCCCGCTAGCGCGCCGCGTCACGGGACTGGACCGTGGAATCTCCTACCTCCACCGGATGGGCGTTGGGTTCGCCATCTCCGTGGCGGCTACCCTCGTGGCCGGGTTCGTGGAGCGCCACCGGAGGGAGTCCGCTGCCGCCGCGGGCACCACCGACGCGGGGACGTCGCCGCTGTCGGCGTACTGGCTGGTGCCGCAGTACGCGCTCCACGGCATGGCGGAGGCATTCAACTCCGTGGGTCACCTCGAGTTCATGTACGACCAGTCGCCAGAGAGCATGCGGAGCATGGCGACGGCGCTGTTCTGGCTGTCCATCTCGCTGGGGAGCTACGTCAGCACGATGCTCATCTCCGCCGTGCATCGATGGAGCGCCGGCGCCGACGGGTCCAACTGGCTCCCCGACAACATCAACCGCGGCAGGCTCGACTACTTCTACTGGATCGTCGCGCTGCTCCAGGTGCTCAACCTGGCATACTACGCCATTTGCGCTAGGTGCTACTTGTTCAAGCCCTTGCAGCTCCGTGAGGTGGACGATGATGCCAAGCCCCAAATTGAGCTGCAAGAAAAGGCTTCACCTTTGAGTCATTGAGCCAGTGAAAGTGCAAGAAAAAGGCTTCACCTTTCAGTCATTGGGCCAGTGAAGAGCATTGATGTATCTGAGATGCAGGTCTAGCTAGAATCAAGTAGGTAGGTTGATCAACTTTGAGGTATATATCACTATATGTATGGATTTGTATGTACATCAGGAACAAACCAGAGAGGAATGCATCACTCGAATTGAGATAATACAGGAACCTGGAAGGCTAGAACATCTCTAGTTTGATGCAGATTATTCAGGCAAGCTGGATTATGCAGATCATTCCAGTGGCCAATGAGATGTAACTGGTGTGCCAATTCCAGAGAAGATTTGATATTGGCATAGCCCACAATTCACAATTCACAACTCAACATAGAGATGGACTATTATTGATGAAGAAACACTAGCATACATGGTACTACTAGTATTAGCATCACAACCTAACATGGATAAACAAATCAGGTTTTCTTGATCTTTATTCGTGATTGATTGTACCTGATGACGTGGCGGCGGCGGCGAAGATCAGACGGTGAAGTTGATCTCGAAGCCGAGGGAGGGGTGGATGGGGTCGGCGGGGGAGGGGACGACGGCGGTGACGGCGGAGGCGGGGGAGCCGACGGGGAGGTGGCGGGAGACCATCTCGTCGACCTTGGCGGGGTCGCCGGAGAGGAGGGCCTCCACGGTGCCGTCGCGGCGGTTGCGGACCCACCCGGCGAGGCCGAGGGACTCCGCCGTCTCCGCCGTCCAGTCGCGGAACCCCACCCCCTGCACCCGCCCCTTCACCACCACCCGCACCGCCTTGCGCGCCGGTGTCTCCTGCGGCGGCGGCGATGGCGTGGGCGAGGAGGACGTGGCGTCGGCCGCCGGCGTGGCCATGGCGAGCCCGAGGCGGCGGCAGAGGAGACGTGTCCTGCAAAGAGGAATCTGGAGTGTGGTGGACGCTGCTGCTTGCTGGGCCTCTCGAGCTACTTGCAAACCGGCCGGCCCAATAAGTTAGTTTTATCACTTTTAATAAGGGGCAATTAATAAAGTACCGAAAAATACAATATTTTCTAATACAAATTTAGTACCTTTAGTGCTAACATCGAGGTACTAAAATTTGTAGGGTAATTCCAGCGTAAATTTTGATACCTCTGGTACTTAATACTTCGAGGTATCAAAATTTGTAAGGTAAAATTTAGTTACCTCGAGACATTCTAGAAATCGTAAAATTTCTTCTCTAAAAATGGATTTTGGCGGAGGCAAGAGTAACCACGAGAAGAAACATACTAGAGCGTCAACGGGATCAAAAATCCCTTTTTCTTTAAGATCGGTCTCGGTCTCGTGTGTTTGCGTGATTTTTAACACCCTGCTCGATAACCGGTTTCGACCAATCTAATGAGCAATATTTTAAGAGCACACCAAACCAAACGCAACAACACAACAACAATGAGCAATAGAGAAGTCAGCGATGTTAACCTTTGGGTGAGATCACCATCATCTGCTAATAAACTTTCATTCTTAACAGAACAGAAGCACACAGTTTAAAAGTTGTGTCATGCTAACAGTTTCTGAAGACACAAACAGCGCATATAGTAACCGCAAAGTGGCACACCGCCATTATCAACATCTGAACAAATTTCTAAACATCGTATGATCAAATCGCTCATCGATCGAGAAACAAACACTCCCAGTGAAACTCGTAAGGATTAGAGGTGAAGATTATTTTATCGCATCATCAAACAGCAAGAAGCAGTACGTCGTCTTCCTCCTCAGGCGGTGGGCTTGCGGGTGAAGCCCTCGGCGGGGTCGACGGGGTCGGCGGGGGAGGGGAGGACGGCGGTGACGGCGGCGGCGCGGGGGCCGACGGGGAGGTGGCGGGACACCATCTCGTCGACCCTGGCGGGGTCGCCGGAGAGGAGGGCCTCCACGGTGCCGTCGCGGCGGTTGCGGACCCAGCCGGCGAGGCCCAGCGCGCGCGCCGTCTCCACCGTCCAGTCGCGGAAGAAGACCCCCTGCACCCGGCCCTTCACCACAACCCGCACCGCCTTGGGGCTGGGCGGGCTTGGCTGCGGGGTGGCGGCGGAGGCCATGGCGCGGCGGGCGGCGGCGACGGAGCGCGGGGTGAGGGCGAGGCGTGGCGCGGTGGCGGAAGGGAACATTCTGGAAGACACGGGGAAGGAAGGGGAGAGAGAGAGAGAGAGAGAGAGAGAGAGAGAGAGAGGGTTTCTGGAGCTTCGAAGCGTCGGCCCATAGATGGGAAACTGCGGTGCCATCTAGCACGTTAACTGCACCATTGGATTTGGATCGGACGGTTCATGCATGCTTCACACTACACGCAATGTGTGTGCCCGTGTAGATTTCTGTGTGTTTTCGTCAATTTAAGAGCAAGTTAAATAGTATAGCCCACTACTAACTCCAATTTATCTATAATAACCGATCTAATAGCCAATTCGTATAATAGTTGCTTACTATACTATTAACACATGGTCCCACCTACCATACACATATTGTATTCTGGAGTCCGTGCTGCAGCTGGCTACAGATCTGTAGCCCGCTACTCCTCTCTCATCTTTTATCTCATTAAAATATGCTTATAGCTGGCTAATAGCCCGCTATTGTACCTGCTCTAATAGACCCCTCACTGAACTCGTAATAAAACAATTTGAAAAACCTATGTAAATATATGCTCCCTCAGCTTTCTCATTTTCATTGCAATCTATCAACCAGACATCCGCTAGTAAAAAGAAAATAAAAATAAAATAAATTTTACAAAACTATTGATATTTAAAACAAACTGTCGTAAAACTACAAACTTATAAGGATGTGTATTACAAACTATAGATTTAGTGTCAATTTTTTTTACAAAACGATAGATCTAAGGAAACTGTCGTAAAACTACAAACTTATAAGAATGTGTATTACAAACTATAGATTTAGTGTCAATTATTTTTACAAAACGATAGATCTAAGGAATTGTATCACAAAACTATATATTGAACATCAATTTTATTAATAAATTACAACTTTTGTAACTTTAAATAAATAATAGTGCTACAGATCTAAAGCTAAAATATGTGAAATGATATGTATTGCCATAGCATTTGGCTTTGAGATACAAGAGTTCATGTTGGACCTCGTACCAAGTTGTCAATACATAATTGGCGAGATGAAAGGGATTTACTGGCATGTGAGCTATAGCAAAGTAGGATCCACATGTCAGTGACTCAACTGCATGTGCAGTTAAGTCAGAGGGTTTGCTTCCTTGGCAATGAAGCGTAGAAGCCTACAACTAAAGAATTTGGCAACGAAGACCGAACCCTTCAAGTGTTCACTCTGCAACCAAGGACTATTTGGTACTAATGGCTTATTCATTTTATTGCTAAAATCAACATTACCAAAATTCAGCCAAATTTTAGCACGTTTTTGTGTCACTAAAATTTGGCAGCGTTGGATGTGTCTAGTTTAATACCTTTGTTATGCTGGTGTTGTTTTTATGAGAGGAAATTCCTAGAGCTACCAAATTCTGGTATGATAGCATTAGTAAGACTATCTTAAATTCATTATCTTACCAAAAATTGATAGGATTAAAGGCAACAATAAAATAAACAAGCCTCAAAGTCTATAAGGCCCATGCCAATGAGATTGGATTAAAGATAGAAATAAAATGAACAAGACTTGGAGTCCATAAGCCTCAAACCCCTTGGCATGAACGAGGTTTGTGTTGACCCTCGGCCACATCTACAAACATGGTACCGAGCTGTCATATATAAGTGCCTAGTGTGCTTGAGGAGGATATATTTGTAAAATACTTCATCCATTTTAAAATATAAGTATTTTAGGATTTAAATGTTGTACCACAATATAAGCATTTATGTATTGGTTCCTATCATTAATTTTTTATGGGTTCAAAGCCAATCACATACTTAATTGTAATCTATCTATTATATACTAAAAGTCCATAAAACTTCCTACAAACACTCTCAAGCCGCCATGTGGCCTTCTACAAATGCTCTTATGTCGTCATGTGGCATTCTAAAATCTCACCGTCGATTTTTTTTTTAAAATCGGTGGACCCATTAATTTTAACCATTAGATCTCCATCTAAAAAATAAATCTGGTGTCCCTACTTTTTTTTTAAAAAAATTACCATGTTTACTCTAACTAATATATAGAAAAAGTCTGGATCGGGCAGGAAACGTTAGTATTATTTTTTTTCCTTTTTTTTCCGGCGGCATACATACATACTCCACGTTAGTATTGTTTTTTTTCCTTTCTTTTGCAAAAGTACTTTTCCTTTACACGTTCTGAAAACAGTACTACTACTACGCACATCGTACGTACACTAGGGGAGTTTAGGAGGTAGTGTTAATAGATATATAAAATCACATCTTACCGATTTAAGTGAAAATCCACAGTTAGATTTTTTTTCTTTTTCTTATAATTTTTAATAATTCTTTTAATTGAGAGATATGACATGTGGTGACCTACAAGCTTTTATATGAGTGTCACGTGACAGCTTAATAGCGTTTCTAAAAAGTTTAAAGGACTTATATACTAAAAGTTAATTAAACTTTCAATAAATACTCTCAAGCCGTCATATGGCCTTCTACAAACGCTCATAAATCACCACGTGGTATTCTATAATCACACCGTCGATTTTCTTTTAAAATGGTGGACCCGTTAATTTTAACAATTAGATCTCCAACGCAAAGAAAATAAATTTGGTATCCCCACCACCAACACCTTACGTACATAAGGTAAAAAAAGGTAGTACGTACTCCTTCCATCCTCCGAATCTCCCATCCTCTCCTATTTTCGAGCTAACTTATCCTATTTTCTCATTAACACTCAATATATCAAAAAATAATTCGGACATCTAAATGATCACGACTCTCAAGTTATAATTTTATACTCAGTTTTTATCAGTTGTTGTGTTATTTATAATTAAATATAAAATTCAAAATCCATATTACTCATATTTTGTTATTAAAAAATAGATCGTGCTGCCGTTCTAACTACAAATGTTAGGGCCTAATGGTACGCCCATAAACACTTCTAAGTTGATCTCGCCACGTAACACTCTAATAAATTAGAAAAATCTATAAGTATGACAAATGAAAATAAAACATCTAACCATCGCTTTCCACTTAAATCGATGGATCCACTATTTTATATGGTTAGATCTATCTTTAAAAAGAAAATCCCAAAACCCCCTCCTGTTCCTCCCATTCCTCCGATTCCTCTCTCCCTACCATTCCTTCTCTGTTCTTTTTTTTATCTCCATAGTAACTAAATCCAACATTATCTTTGTGATAAAAACAAACTCCCACAAATGGACTCCGCATAACAAGTCTAGCCAGTTTCCCCTGTGTCAAGTGCTTTTCTTCTCTTTCTCCTCAAGCTAGCACTTATAAAAACAACGTAAATTAGACTTTAAAATACTCATAAAATTTTAAATCGTATATTCATTTATGATATTTCTACACTATTGTAATTTTCAATTAAATCAATAATTTAATATTTGTATTGACTTACATTGTGGACCACATCTATCCACCTTTAAGCCTCCAATAAATAAAATAGAATACTAAAATTTCTCATTAAAAAGTTAAAATATACCACTTATGTTTTTAATAAACGGTCAACCCATTATTTATACCATGCTAGACATCTAATCACCTTTTTCCAACTCCTTCTATTTCAGATTATAAGTCATTTTAAATTTTGTCAATGTGAAATTACTTGAATTAGTTTATAAAAAATATAGTAATATTTTCAACACAAAACAATCATATTATAAAAACATATTCAATTTTGAATTCAATAAAAATAATTTGGTGTTGTAAATATTGATATATTTTTCCTCAACAGTGGAAGTAGTTAATTTATCTTAACATGCATATAGGGGGGCTATTTACTTGATCATAAGTAGATACACTTTTATAAATAAATGATCTTTTTAGGGATAAATAAACGTTCCTAAGATGATGATAATATCTAAATTATACATATGATATCTGATGTCACTAATAGATTAGAGAAAAAACTTTTAATTATATCATTATTTCATGTCATAACGTGTACCCCGTCTAGGATCTATTTATCATACACAACACATTGAAAACATTTAAGGGATACCTTTATCTCATGCCAAGTTGTATAGCCTTAACTCACTTATATTACCATTCTAGATGGCAGAGATCAAAACATTTAAGAGATGCTTGATGGAATGGAAATCTATAAAAAAATAACATGATAAAAATAATTGAAGACTGAACTTTTTTTTTTCTAAATTTAACATTTTCTTAAAAAAATTGATACCCATCCTAAATAGCAATGTTTTAATATTTTTGGAGTACTGAAATAATGAAAATAACTAAAATTTTAAATAAAATATAATAGAAAATTTGAATTTTTCTGTATTATGTTGGAAACAAAATCTAACATAATTTCAGTTCAAAGTATACAACCCTAAACTACAACTTGGGAGCGATAAAAGTCTTATTTTCTAATATATTTTCTCATTGAGAAAAACATTTACCGCTAAACTGTAGTTTCATACTGCAATACTATATACACACAAATAAATGCTAAACTGTAGTTTCATACTGCAATACTATATACACACAAATAAATCAATATTTCAACATATTCAGCTCATAATTATATGTAGTCATATTAGGCATATTTTTAATAGAAAATATCTTCAATTAATATATCCTAAAATTCATAAAGACATATATATTATACAAAAGAAAATTGTTACTTAGAGTTTAGAAAGTACAAAATTAAGTTATGCTAAATATTAAAAAAAAGAAACGCGTTATGTACAAATGATATATAGTTTCATATATATTTTTTCTTATAAAACCAAAACTGCATTGTTTTGAGTAATTTTAGTTTACAATTTATACGTCGGCGATGGTTACTAGCATTCAGAGAAACACCACACAAATTATTAAAAAATTAAAGATATTTACAATAGATTAATCATAAATATTCCTAATCAAATTTCTAACACAATTAAATATGATGTCCGCGCATATGCGCGGGCTACCTTCCTAGTTGATCTAAACAACTGAAAATTTAAAAATTAACAAAAACAAAGTGATTAAAAAGAAATATTTTAACCTATCCTTAATATTTGCTAAACAACATAAAAATTCTTTATTTTTAAACAGAGGAAATAATTTTTTTAAGGACAAATATGAAAAATTCCTACGGTTGGTCCATTGCATTTCAACCCTTGTATGCGGGAACACCGTCGCTTCAATATGGGCCACATTCTGTGACCGGTCTCGCTGTGAATAAGCATTTCTGTAAATTGACTTTCTGCGGTGTCATGTTCCTTGTGTTTTGCATATTATTTTGGTTGTTTCACTACCTCCCGAATTGTTATAGAATCAATATTTTCTGGCGTTATTTGTTGTAGGAGATAATTGCACTTATGAAGATCTGAAGGGAGGAGTCATGGTAAACGGGATAATTGCTTCTTCATAAATCAGCAGGATCGTTAATGGCCATGAGGGGATGCATTTCAGAGATGTTTATCATCAACTCATTTGCAATTCTTTTCTAATGAGTCGATCAACCATTCTCCGAGATATATATTCTCATTGTCATACGCCAGATTATATGAACACTTCCACGCAACAAGAAAGCGAAGAAATTGTTTTGAATTTCGAAGAAACAACTGATAGTAGGTTTGATACAGTTTTTGCACTACGCTGTTACTGCACATGGGAGCAGAACATATTCTCGTAGAGATATACAAACATCACACAGAGGAAGCAGCAGCAAGCACTCTAGAGAGTCACCCCCCAAAACTTCCCCGGACAAATGCAGCTGCTTAATTACTCCGTTCCAGCGATCTTCTTCTTCAAGGTCTCGATGTCGGTCGCCAACTCTTTCCTGCTCTCCTGTTGTTTATATCACACGAAAAAAAAAACATTCACAGAAATTCAGATTCCAATTCAAATTGAAGTAAACTGATAGAGAAGTTCAGGACGATTATTCGACTTGAAAATCCAAACTTTTCAGTGCATGAATTGGACAAGATTCGGTTAATTCCCATGTTAATTAATACCGATGGATGCATCTGCATGGACGATTGATTTCTTAGTTACCTTGAAGAGGAGGTAGCGGTAGACGAACCAGCCGGTGTAGCCGAGGCCGACGAGCTCCAGGATCTTGGGGAGCTGCAAGAGAAGAGCACGTCGGCCAACTCGTCATCAGTCACAGTTCAGACAAAGCTGCAAGTGATTGATTAATTCGATGGTACGTACCAGCGGCACGGAGTTGATGGCGCCGACGACGACGGTGGTGAGCCAGAGGGCGACGACGGCGCCGCCGCTGTAGAGGAGGAACGTCGGCTTGTCCTCGATCGCCTCCCACTGCATCCAACCATATGTCAAATTAAGACGAGATGTTCCATGGGACCATGGATGGATGCAAACATATGCACGAACTCACCTTTGCCTTGAGGTCGGCGACGAGCTCGTCGCCGCTGGCCGAGGTGGAGGTGTCGTCGGAGGCGGCCCTGACGCGGAGCAGGGACAGTCGCGGCGCGTCCTGGAGGCGCAGCGGTTGGAGCACGCCGCCGCGGCGCGGCAGAAGCGCGGCGGAGCGTGGAGCGGCGGGGACGCGCGCGCCGGTGGCGCCGAGGAGCGCCACGGTGTACGCCGTGGCTGCGGCCATGTCGGTGCCCTCCTCCTCCTCCTCCTCCTTATCACCAAGTAAGCTAGAGGCAGCAGCTGAGCTCTCTTCGTGGCCTCTCTTTTTTTTTCAGCTCGATCTCACACTGTCACGCTATCTACTAGCGAAACGAAATTAACGGTGCACCCTTGCACCACAGCTCGGGACCTCGGCCTCGCATGGTGGGTAGCCACGTGGCAGGATGGTGTGCTGCCTCTGGCTGACACGTGGCAGGATGCTGGTCTGTGATTGGTTGGCTCCCTATCTTGGAAATCCCTGGATGGCCTCTCATTCCCGGCATTTGATTTGTAGATGATGGAGAATGCAAGGTCCACACTTTGGTACTTCTTGCTGCTTTTGCTTCTCTGAATTCTGGCAGTACAGCTTTGGTTTCTCTGAATTCTGGCAGTACAGCTATCTGGGTGTACTTTTTCGGTTAGGAGGCATACTGTACACTATACAGTACCATGTTTCCATTTTACCAGAAACAGTTATACTTCCAGGTCATAATCATAAGCCATCACTGTTCAATAGGGGTAAAATGTTTTGTTATCTCCTGGTAAATTTTCAATCAACAATGTCAAATAAGCCAGTAATATTTCTGGAATGATTCCATCCAGTACGCAATGTACAAGCCATCATACCACAGCATAACAGTTAACAATAGTTAGTCAACAAGTTCTTGCTTTGCTCTAGTGATGCAAGAACAAATACATCCATTAAATGCTAGTAAGTTTCTTTTCTTATTTTGTTCAGCACTAGCTAGTATCCATTAAATGCTAACTTAGTATTGCCTGCGAGTATTGAGGGTTCAGCTCCTCCGCACTTGCAGAGTGAGGCATTGGCAGAACGCCTCACCAACTAATGGTTTCTGCAAAATTCCTTGTGTGCAGACTGAAGGATACGGCGCTGTATAAATACAAGAGAACTGCTGTCTCACGATCATGACGAGCATGTGTCATTTTTATGCACTTCGCTTCCCATACTTCAACATTTGTATTAAATACTTTCCACCAAATAAATCATTAACCCACTTCATCTGAACTGTCACTATCTGAGGAGAAATATATGTGCTGTCCTCTAGTTGCTTCTTCCTCAGATTCCTTGTCTTCGTCAGATTCATCTTCTTGATCAGAATCGGTCGAAGCTGCTGATTCCGTGAAAACAAATTCAGCGACAATGGGCAAATGGTCACTGCCAATTTCCTGATTTTGTTTTTGGCATAAAATCATTGTTAGCAGTTAAAGATGAGAAGTATATAAAAGCAACAATATCAAATTATTCATGACTCAAATTGTTGCAGATGATCATTTAAGTTACTGTGATGATCAAATGAGAATACCCTGGTTGGAAGACCCCTAGTTCTCCTCAAAAAACCCACAGGCAGAGTATCTAAAACTCTGGAGCATTCAAGCCCTGCAGTGTACCTTAAAGAAAGAATATCAGCCACATTTTTATTTTATTTTATTCTGCGTCATACTGTACTTTTGAGCAATTGCATCATACTGTATTAGAAAGTATTTAGAAGCATACCACAGGTAATCAACAGTGCCAAGAAACTTCTTGTGATAGGAAGTTGCAAGGGGTTCGCCATGATGACCCCTATTGTTTGAGTTTCCCTAATATAATTGGCAACTAGTTTCAGCAAAATATGAAATGGTCAAACAATCAGTTTTGATCTTAACTAGAAACTAGTACCTTTAACATAGCATACGAACTACAAATATTCAATGGATGTTTAGCAACCATGACATTTGAAGACCCAGTTGCATTTCTTACTTCTTCGCCGCTCCATTGGTACTTCAGTGAACTGCGAGGAAGGAGATGAGTATTGAGTAGAGAAAAAGACTATTTGACAGGTCAACCGTTGTATCACGAGAAAGGTTCTGACCTACAAAGATCATATAAAGCAAACTCAGAGCTATCAAGTCCAGACAACTGCCTTCTATCATGCAAAGAAATGTCAAGCTGGTGACACAAAAACACAATATATGCAATGTCAATTTAATTATAATTGGATGTGATTTCAGCTTTGAAAAGGCCTAAGAAATATTTTAAGGCATTATTCCACCTTCATTGTTGACAAGAACTTGTAGATGGCACTCTGCTCCCAAAAAAGAAAGAGAAGTGTCAGCGCTTTAACAAAAGGTACCCAAGTTCTTCAAATCAGACAAATCTACTTCATAACTTAAGATGGACTAAATGTGACACTATCAATCTAGAGCATGATGAGTAGAAAGTATTGACATGTTTACATTTCAGTTCTGGTAACCAAAAACTTTAAGTAATTAGTTTACCCTAGATATTTAAGAAATCTAAACATGCCAAGAAACAACTAATACATACATCAGGTGTGCTGTTGAAATCACCAGCAAGCACGATAGGAATTCCACCCCATTTTTCAGCAAGAGCATTTGCCTTCTCCAGTAGCATGCGGATCTGAACGGACAGATAATTGGAAACGAAAACTGCTTAGCAAACAATTAGTCGAGTAAAAAGTATAATATGTTGAATAGACATAGATAAAGTTGAGGTATAGTTTCAATGGTGCATCTTAATTGCAGTAAAAATATAGTGCGTTGAATATACATAGATAAGGTTGAGGTATAGTACATATGGTGCATCCTATTTACATCAGCATATATGAGCATTATGCAGTACATCAGTGATTAACATGAAAAAGGTCCAGTTTTTGTCCCTCAGTACTTTACACCCTAACCTTCAGTAATTTCTAAAAGATGTCATTCAACAAATAAAAAACCATGCACATCACATCCTGGTGATAGTTTTGAAGGAGGTTTATATGGATCCTACATGGTGTGTGCCCGTGTGCTAGTGAGGTAATGTGGCTTCATAATTTAGAAAAGGAAATTAGTTGGACCATTTTCCAGAGGACGAGTGGATACCATGCGTCAAAATAAAATGATGGTGCAGAAACCACATAATCCTATGCACAAAACCCAAATAAAAAAAAAGAAACATAAACAGCTTTGGATGCAATTTGCTCCAGTTTTAACATTTAAGGGAAAAACTAAAAGTTATTGAAAAACATGGTGAAAACAACTAAATTAGGCTCCAGTAATAGTTGAAGGACCAAAAGTGGACATTTTACAATGAATATTTTGTGCAGGCGATTTTAGGACATGATAGAGAACTGGACGAATGATATACGGGAAATGGATGATGCTGAAGTTAACTGATATATATACCTGGCCCAGTTTTACATCTCCCCTCTTTGGATTAAAAAGGACATGAATATTCCCAACTACTAACTTTTGTGCTCTATTAAGCTGAAACGAAAACAGGTAAGGAAAAAGACAATAATTAGTGCACCCAATGTATTAGCATTAAAACAGTAGTTACTTAATTGTAATGCAAGGACATCTGAAAACAAATACCAGATTAAACAGATGGTGCTAATTTGGAAATTATTTTGGACACAATATTTGGTCTGGAAACTAATTTTAATGCATAATATGAGCTAATACTAAAATACTATGTTAAACTTAGACAAGTGTAGGTCCTTCTAATAAAGATAAGGCTCGTAGATAGTGTCCGGAATTGGGGATGGGAAGAAACCGACAGAGAAGTATCTAAGTCATCCCTTCTCTCTAGTTTCCTTTAGTTTTACCCAGCAACAGGGCTCAGGACAATATTAAATAGGAAAGCACCATTTCTGGAACACATGCAGTGATTATACACTAGGTGCTGCCAGGATGTAAGTGATATACTCTCCTTATTTTATCCTTTGAACAAACTGCTTTATTGTAAACCAAAGTACCTCAAAAACAAATATTTGAGCAACATTATTACGTAGGTTGTATTCACTAAAATCAATACTGTCTTCCTCAAGCAGATGTAACCTACATTTGGAAATAAAGAAAGAATATGAAAATGCGACTTGGTTTAAACCAATGAAGGTAACAAAGGATAAAATCCATTCACCATACCCTTTTGACTTCCAAAAGGTAGCACATCCATCTTTAGCATCACCAGTTCGGCCCTAAGGATGTCACCAGACTTGCTTCAGCATGATGTACATGAAGGTTGAAAGGTGGCATTCTGACAAAAATGTTATACCTTAAATCTACTTTGATAACCCCTGTTCTCCATTTCTGTAGCAATGTCTCGGAATCTATCCACCTCCTAATTTCGGAATCACAAAATGTTATAGGAGTACGGTCGCACAAGTGGTATAAACATCATGCAGATTGAGTTCTGACCTGTAGACACACTAGGTCAGGATCCCAGTGTCTAATTTCACGAATAATAAGCCTCCTCCGCGAATCCCACCTCATTGCATCCCAAGGGACATCCAAATAAAGGTCAGGATGGTAATGTGCATTGTTATCCGCCAAGATGTTGTATGACATGATTGTGCACGCATCTGACAAAAGCTTTATTACTCTTAGTATTACACTAACAAAGCCAGAATGGCATCATCCCAGAGTAATACAGCTCCATCAACCCAAACAGATGCAAGTCAAACAAAAAGGACGAACAAAAATCACAACTTTAGGGGTGAAATTGGCACTGGTTGGGGCGAAGCTTCATACTTGCACTAGCTGGGTCAACTGATTTCTCACTATTTACTCTAGCAAAACTAGCAAAGAGAAAAAAAAAAGAAGCAAAAGTGCAATCTTCACTCAGACATTGGCACAAACAGATGGTGAGCAAAGGCAACAAAATTTCACCAACGATACATCCAGCATAATACCTCCGTCGGAGGTCGAGGCTTCCTCCGCAAGGACCCACCTCCGGGAGGGCACCCCGTACTGCTGCGCGCGGTGCCGCTGATAAACGCGACCAGGCGAGCCCGCGGCAGGGCTCTGCCAGCGGCGGCGGTGGTCGCGCGGCGCGCCGTTTCCGGAGGACGAGCAACGCACCAGCGAGCCCGAGGCCGGGGGAGAGCGCGCGCGCTTCCTGTGGGGGTGCATGGCCGGCGTCGGCGGCGTGAGCCGCGATCGCGGGGCGGCGGACGCCATCGCCGCCGGCGAGATGTGGCGGTGGGGAGACAGGGAAGGAGGACTTCGGGTTTTCCCTTCCTTTTTTTTTCTCTCTCTCTGATGAACTCTGTTATTCGGGTTTCTCCCATCTAGGGTGTATCGAAAAATCTGGACCGTGCATCCGCTGATGGACGATACAAATGCACTGCGAGATGTGTCGCAAATTTGCAATTCGTTTGAAAAGATAAAGTAATTTTTTTTTGTTTTTTTGGTGTTGAAATCAAGAAATTTGTTCTGTCATGTACTCCTCCATTTGATATTTTCATTTTTTTTCCTTTTTTCTTTACAAATTAAACATAATTTACTAATATTATTGAGAAAAAATTGGTTATATAGCATCGAAAGTTCACGTTTTTGGTTTTATATGTATTTATATCAAGGGAGGTATAAACTGTATAAATAACCCAATCACATTTAGGAAAGAGAAAAATAAAGAGAAAAGGCCAACATGCAATATGACATGACTAGCATTGGTCATTAGGCTTGTATTCAGTGAACTATTTGAGCTACTGTCTTCCTAGGAACATCAGGGTTTATGTTTCGAGGGAAGAATATCAGGATTTGGTGCATCCATAAAGTAAAACCACATATATTGTAATTTGTTTTAAAAGAATTTTAGGTTTTAAGAGTTTGGGGGGGGTTTATAAAATACAACTAAAAAGATTATGATTTGTTTAAAGGAACTCTAGGCCTGTTCACTTTGATGCCATTTTCAACCTTACCAAATTTTGCCAAATTTTGGTAAAGTTACCAAAAAAAAGTAGCTACATTTAGTTTGCTACCAAATTTTGGCAATTATATAAGAAATCCTGCCAAAATTTTGGCAAGTTACTAAAATTTTGGCAACTTTGCCAAAATTTGGTAAGGTTTTTTTTGGCATCAAAGTGAACAGGCCCTATGTTTTAAAAGAAAAAAAATGTTCCGACAAACTCTATATATAAACTTATACCATCGATTTACCTACATATTTATCTATAATATTATTAAAAAAAAATTAAAATACAACGGTATCAATAATAGGAACCGGTGTTCTCTTAAAAAAAATTTCAAGTGTATGCAACTACAAACACCATCATTTAGTTTATTTAAGGAATAAGTCAAACAGCATATTTACAAATAAAAAATAATTTGTGAATAAAACTTTTTTATATACGTATACTTAGCGATCTAAAAACAAAAACTGAAAAATAAACTACGATGAAAAAAACTCAAAATCAACTCCAAATTTAAGATTGAAAAAATAAATTTTAACTTATAAGTATAAACATAAGCGAAAAGATGAGGATGTACACTTTTATTCAATAACTTAAAGAACGCGGACATAAGCCACCATTAAAGAATACATTTACAGTTTCACACACTTGACAAAGGCCTACGGTATATCCATGAAATTAGGGAAAAAAGAACTCCTGTAGCAAATCACACGTAAGTTGCTTCCCAGTTACCATCGCCCGTAACTTCATTTCAGATGCACTTACACGGTTACACCCCAACAATACGCATACTGCATAACATCTTCCGATTCCCAGCAGAACATCAAGATTAGAACTATTGCAAACCAAAAGCAACTTGAGGATATCAGTCGCGGTTATTCATATTTACAATGTTCTGATCAGTCCACGACCAAACAGTTTGCATATTGGAAAAGAAAAGAAAACATACACGATGACAAGCATACAGTAACTAACAAGCCAGGAAAAGCACGCATCTCCATTACATGTTTGAAGAAACTAACGACATCTGAAAGAAGCTGGGATTGAACCAAGAACAACAAACTACGGAGTTTTATGCGACGATAGAAAGTTAAACGGCAGTGGCTGAAGCAACGGTTTTGACCATGCTTTCCCCAAGGGCTGGACCAAAGCCGTTATCCAAGACAGGATTGGCAGAGGCAGGAGATTTTTGTAGAGTATCTTCATATGCAGCATCATGAACACCAAGAGCAGCACGACCAGATGGATCAAGGTTTTTGGACCAGGCTGCGTCCCATTCAACAGCTTTAGCAGTGCTGCACGCGACGCTAGGACCTCCAGGTACTGTCAACCTAGCAGCATTCTGCATAAAACCGAAAGTTAATTAGCTAGGGCATAGCTCAGCATAGTATGAGAACAGCAAAAGTTGATAGTATCTTCCATGCCTTGGGAAAGAATTTCTCGAATATTGTCCTATAATAGTACGCTTCTTTTGTAACTGGAGTGTTTTCTGGGTAAACAAAGCTAGCGTTCATCATCATGGAATCTGATACCTGAAAATGAACAGAAAAATATGTGAATTCCAGCTTAGGTCAGAAGAAATCAAACAAACTGTAGGCTAAAAAATGAAAACCGCTAAGTTGTCAATAGTTTTAAAACAGAGAAGACAGTATACATGTTCATTTGCATGATCCTTCAATCCATCAATCCAACTGTACCCAACACCATCACTGAATTGCTCCTTTTGCCTGTATAGAATGTGCTGTGCAAGACGAATAAATTATAAGTTTAAGCACATATGGAAGTTTATGTACATTATAGGTCAAATACGACTCAAAAAGTTTAACTTTTTGCAACCTTAGGTAAATAGGGCTTCTCCTCATCATCAAATGCATTCCGGAGAACCCATTTCTCAATACGGCCAAGATCACGTTTTATCTAAAATTTACAGGATAATAAGTGTTAGAAAGTGACAGTACTGGTTACAATATAAGAAAAATAACTGCAATAAAAGTTGATGTCCGGTGTACATACCATTTTCCATTCAGGATCAATGTCCATAGCTACATTGATGAAGTTTTTGTCAAGGAACGGAACACGGGCCTCAACACCCCATGCAGAAGTTGATTTGTTCGCTCTCAAGCAATCATATAAATGAAGGGCTTTTATCTAAAGGTCAAGAAAAATAATTCTTGTAAGTAGACCAGCTACTGTAATGTGCATAAACACCAACCAAATACTAGTTAAGTAGTTAAACTAAAAGTGCAATAGTATACTACTGAAAATGCTTCAAGAATACATTTAGCTGCCTTGGGCAGAAGAAGATTAATCATGAAAATATTCTCCTTAATTACCTTCCGACATGTTTCCTCATGGAATTCCTTCTTGTTTGGTGCCTTGTGAAAATAAAGGTAACCGCCAAATATTTCATCAGAACCTTCTCCCGAAAGAACCATCTTCACCCCCAAAGATTTAATTTTACGTGACATCAAGAACATTGGGGTGCTTGCTCTAATTGTCGTTACATCATATGTCTCAACATGGTAAATGACTTCCTCCAGTGCATCAATGCCTTCCTGTTTTCATTTTTTTTTTACAATATTGAATCAGAGCTTCAAAAGATTTTTTTTCTCACTATGCAAAAAAAACAGAGAACAGATACAGAACCTGCACTGTGAAGTGGAGTTCGTGATGAACAGTACCAAGGTAGTCTGCAACTTCCTTAGCAGCTCTAAGATCAGGAGAACCCTACAAAAAAGGGGAACATTGAAGAACTAGATCATCATGTGCCCAATATCTAAGCATATCACTCCTTTTTTTTAAAAAAAAATCCATTTTCTTTCAAAATACTCAGAACACCAGGAGAACAGGTAAAAATTGGAAAGATACCCTACAGGCTAACACAAATCTTCGCAATAATAGGACTCAATGCTTAAGAAACTTACTTTCAAACCAATGCAAAATGTATGCAGTTTGTTTCCCCACTGTGCGGCAACTTTTGCCTCTGCCAAGTGCCGCGAAACAACAGATGCAACCAAAGAAGAGTCCAGTCCACCAGACAAGAGAACACCAAATGGCACATCTGTCATTAGCCTCTTAATAATAGCCTGCAGAATTTGCATCTTATGTAAGATATAATCATTTGCTTATGCTACCATAAACATGCATAGACCATTCAGAAATGTTATGCCATCTATTTGAATATTAATACAGAGGTCAACATGGTGAACCATCATTGGTCAATCTGAGAGCAGTATAATATATCATGCTAAAATAATCTATTGTATGAAAAACCATCTGAGGTTTGAACAAGCTTTTCCTAATCAGCGGCATAAACACAACATATCAAAAGTTTAGAAGAGATTTTGTGCAGCGTAAGAGATATGGGAATGGGACGTGCCTTCTCAAAGCTCTGTCGGAGAAGAAGAGGATTGTACGGGGTGGAGGGAATGCTTTCAGAAAACCATGGTGGGTTGTACCATCTCCTTAGGCCACCTAGGTTGGATATTAGAAGACAAGTCAGTAATCATAGACAAAACAAAATGATATTTGCAATATTATAATAGTTTTGATCATTTCTGCCTTCCTCTTTTTTTCGTCTTCTGGGCCTAAAAACAGTGTTTCTAACATCAACTGTTAGACGATACTGTCAGTATGTCACAAATGCGAAATAGCACACCTGTTTTGCTGGAGTACAAGTGCCCAGGGGGGAAGGATATGAATCGCTCGCAATCATCACTTAATGCCTTCATCTCTGACGAAAACCAAACCGAACCTGAAAACACAATACACCTACAAATAAACACCAAGTATACCCTAATAAAAATCACAAAGGCAATAATGCTAAACTAACATCGCACTAGCCAAGATTCGAAGACAAGGAGAAATTATATTTCCAGACATATGGAAGGAAACGGTGCCTCTTGCCCTCTGCAAGTATATTATATTGTCATTCTGTATTATGAGCTTGGGCAACAAAGACCTTGAACAAGGACCCTGATATTACATCGAAAAAGAATCCTACTTCATGACCAGTGACGAAAACCTTAAATTTCTTAGAAGGAACATATATCAAAACCAGAATTTTTATCCTGCAAACTAAACGTGGAGATTTGGTAACCAAACATACCAAAGAAAAAAAGTGCATCTTCAAACATATTATATTGCCCTTGTTTTGTGTTTTTATGGGCTTGGGCAACAAAAGTCTTGAAGGGTCCCAATATCAGATATTCGGATCCAAAAGGAATAATGTTCCATCATGGTGAGTAGCAAAAACCTTAATGTTCTTTGAAGCAACAGGCATCAAACCAGGATCTCTATAGTTCTATTTGCAAGCTAAAAGGGCAGATTTGATAACCTTGTCAAGAAAA